ATATATTAAATAATTGAAATAAATTCTATTGAAATAAATGCTAATTCTAACATGACAGTACACATTTATTCTGTATATGACAAAGTGATATATAGCAAGGAAAACACATTTTGTGATAATGTCATTGAAATCTGAATTAATACCTCTGATTTTTTTTCTCATGTCTCAAAAATCAGTATTTCATCACCCATGAGTCCAATGCTAAGCACTTCATATCAAAACTAAGCAAACATCAATCAGTGGCTCTAACGCAAATGTGTGCTTGGAGACTATTTGGAGATATTTGCACAGGATTGTCCACATAGCTCAGCAAATACTGCAAAATGTCCAAGTTTATGTCAACCTGGACATCTAAATGTAAACAAAGTTGTGCAATTGCATCTTTTCAACATGAATTCGATATGTTATACCCCAGAGGAGTCTAATGTTATGCAACATTACCATGAACATTCTGTCATCTCAGCCAATCACAACATAGATTCCTCTGTCTACACTGGGATCCTCTAAAGGTGTCTTCCTGTAAATGAGTGTTGGGTTTCCTGGATTAGCAGGAAGTGTTCTGGCGCTGGCGAATGTGAAACCGTATGACAGCATGAGCAGGATTGGAGAAGCTCTGTCATTATATTAGTAACAGATCCGTCATCTTTAGACCTGTCCATGTGGGAGGCTGTCTGTTAATCGTAAGGATATCTTTAAAATACAACGCTTGTCACTTTCCAGAGCTGCCACGAAATCACTCACACCTTCTGTGACGTGGGTTATCGCTTTCTATGTGCCAAGACTTCCTCTACCTACTCCGTCTGGAATAGACAAAAAACATTTGCTTTATCTGTGTATTATTACCGGTAATTCCTTCATTAATTGAAATAAATTCTATTGAAATAAATGCTAATTCTAACATGACAGTACACATTTATTTTGTATATGACAAAGTGATATATAGCAAGGAAAACACATTTTGTGATAATGTCATTTAAATCTGAATTAATACCTCAGATTTTTTTCTCATGTCTCAAAAATCAGTATTTCATCACCCATGAGTCCAATGCTAAGCAAACATCAATCAGTAGCTCTAACGCAAATGTGTGCTTGGAGACTATTTGGAGATATTTGCACAGGATTGTCCACAGAGCTCAGCAAATACTGTAAAATGTCCAAGTTTATGTCAACCTGGACATCTAAATGTAAATAAAGTTGTGCAATTGCATCTTTTCAACATGAATTCGATATGTTATACCCCAGAGGAGTCTAATGTTATTCAACATTACCATGAACATTCTGTCATCTCAGCCAATCACAACATAGATTCCTCTGTCTACACTGGTATCCTCTAAAGGTGTCTTCCTGTAAATGAGTGTTGGGTTTCCTGGATTAGCAGGAAGTGTTCTGGCGCTGGCGAATGTGAAACCGTATGACAGCATGAGCAGGATTGGAGAAGCGCTGTCATTATATTAGTAACAGATATGTCATCTTTAGACCTGTCCATGTGGGAGGCTGTCTGTTAATCGTAAGGATATCTTTAAAATACAACGCTTGTCACTTTCCAGAGCTGCCACGAAATCACTCACACCTTCTGTGACGTGGGTTATCGCTTTCTATGTGCCAAGACTTCCTCTACCTACTCAGTCTGGAATAGACAAAAAACTGTTTCTTATATGAGGGTTAATACTAGCACATTTGGCTGCTTCTTAATTTAAACATTTGGCATATATGCTCTTGTTATTATCTTATACAAATCCAACAGATGGCACAGGACCATTGAAATCACATGAGGAAACCCTGTTTTACTTCCTTACAAATCTTTTATTTCCTTACAAATTTACTTTTCACACAAGTCTAAATGTATCTTCTCCTGTTTGTCTGAAGCATTCTGACTAGTACTTTTCTTTAATAAAAAAATGGCCAAAGGCATATTTTGGAGCGTTCACATACCTCACTATTTGCACTGGAATGAGGGACTCTCAAAATATTTTTCTCTTTTGCTTAAAAATTCTTGGACGATAAAATCCGCCTGGAAGTGTAAAGTGCGCAATTATGTAGATATCTCAAATCATCTTTGATTATTTGATGATTATGTAATAATTATGATTGTGTAATAAGTGTGGCAGGACCATAAATGAGATTTTTCGAATTTTTAAAGGAATATTTGAGGTTATTTAAAATGTAGAGATATAGTTCTACCAAAAAATTTAAAATGTGCATTAATTTACTGACTGTCCTGTCATTCAAAACCTTTCTTCTATGAAAAATAAAAGATAAAGGTGTTCACCCAAAATGAAAAATGTGTCATAATTTACTCACTCTCATGTTGTTCCTAACCTGTATGAGTTTCTTTCTTATGTTGAACATAAAAAAATATATTTTGAAGAATGCTGGTAACTGAACAGTTGATGGTCCACATTGACTTACATAGTGTTTTTCCCCTACATATGGAAGTCAATTGGGACCAACAACTGTTTGGGTCAAAATGTTCATTTTTTTGGGGGGGGGACTATTCCTTTAAGAGACATCTTTGTTTTGTTTTTTTGTCCATTCAGTGAAAGTCAGTTGGGTGAAGTGTTGTTTTAGATCCCAGTGACTTTCTTTGTAAAGGCAAAAACACTTGAAACGTTCGTCAAAATATCTTCTGTGTTCCACGATGAAAGAACGTTATACAGGTTTGGAACAACATGAAGGTGAGTAAATGATGACCAACAAAGCCATTATTAAACTCAATCAACAAGTGTTGCATGCTGTGGATTACCACATAAATGATTGCAAAACATGTTAGACAAGTATGTACTATAACAGTGCACTCTAAATCCAAGAATCCAGACATTTGAAAAAAACGGACCAGTGTTCTCCTTAATTTTGTATGCTTAAATATAGATTTCTCCTCTCCAGTGGAAGTAGGGCTGTCTCTTTTCTTGTTTTCAGCTGTTGATTTTGAGGTTATTTACACTCAAGTGTTCCCCACTGTCCAGGCTCACACTTGATTTGACAAGATAGTTTCACAGAAGATGCCAGAATCCGGAGTGCCACTGTTCCCATAATGTGCATGTTTTATTTATTTATTCATTTATTTTTTAGAGTATGTGGGAAGTCTGTCTTTCTCTCTGTACCACATGTCGCCGTTTCAGTGTTCTCTCAGGGTTTCTGTCACGGGAAGTCAGTAGGAAGTGTTGTGTAGTTGTGTCATGTAGGTTAAGGAGTCAGAACTCTGTAAGCTTCTTAGTAGGTTCATTCTCAGAATAAAAAAAGAGCAGTAGCATTTGTCAGTTGTCTTCACATTTGTCATGTCTCATTTTTTTCCCTAATGTTTTTGCAGTTCTTTGAAGCGATTTTAAATCAAAGCTATGAGACGTGGCGTAGTATGAAACCTAATTTTAACCACATCAACACATCTGCATTTAAAACACACTGCATTGTTTTGATGTTGTATTCTGTGTTGCGTCTGCATAGCAGCTGTAAATTTTCTAACAATAGACTACATCCCCTGAATGTCAATTTGGTTTTTGTACGTGCTCCATTTCTCAATAGACTGACTGACCCAGACCCCCTTTCCTTTTTTACACAGTTGTTAGCAGTACGATAAAAGCTTTGTATTCACTTATCAGCAATGTTTTGAAAAAAGAAAGTATGGCATACAAATGTTCTTGAAGAAATGTGTGTTGATGAGTATAGAGGTTTATATTGATTGTTGTCTCTCTCTTCTTAACTACAATGTACTTACACATAAATTAATCATTTGATACAAAGCATTTATTGTGTACATGGTTTTTACATTGTACTTGTATATTAAAAAAATACCTGCATGTAATTACAATTTTTATAATTACACTGTTGACCTATCCCATACACGTTAACCCACCCTTAAACCTACCCATACCACCAAACCTGTCCCTAACCTTACCCGCATCCCACCTCAATAGCTTCAAAAGAAGTGTTTTGCAATACGAAAATAAGTACACTGTACTTATTTTTTTAATGCAAGTACATAGTAGTTAAGGCCACCTAATATAAAGTGGGACTGAAATAATAAATAAAATCATGTTTTAGAGCCAGTTGTGGTCAGGGATGGAATATCTGATTGGAGTGGAGGCCTAAGTCTGAAATGATTGAGCGTTTTGGGGTTACAGTGAAACGTGACCTACTTGGACCAAACACCCTAACCCCCAATAGAATACATCTCTCGGGGCCGTACGGGTCAGAGAGGAGCGACCCCGGCCCCTTTGGTTTAAACAGCCCCGTGCCTGTGACCAACAACAGCGTACCCCGACCCCCAGCCTTGCACACTTCGTTAAGCACTACCATCTGTTTTTCTGCTTCGCTCCTGCCTGTCACTTTTGTTCTCCTCTCTGTTTGTTTGGGGTCATCGTGACCGTCTCTTATCTCGGGTCCCGAAGATGTTAATGACGTTACAGTCTGTACATGCACTCTAGAGGAAAAGGGGGACCTTTTCTTTTGGAAACCAGAAGCTTGCTTTCCTCAAAGTCACTTCTGGCTTGGCCGGGATTCTTGACCTGGATATGCTCTGGACCGGTAAGCCTAACCCTTTCCTAAACTCTCGTTTAACGTTTTTTTCATTCTCTGCTTGTGCAAGCCTTGCATGTGTGCTTGCAACACATGCCCTTCCAATATTTTTAACTGCACTGAGCCGGGAACACAGAACGATGGGTTTAGTGGTTTCTTGCTGCTCTCGCTCGCTCGCTCGCTCCCTCCCTCCTTTTGTGGTGTTTGGACTCCAACTCTTCAGACTCCTCATGGTTTCTGTTAAAGCTCGAGCCAGCGGTTTCTCTGAAGCTCAGCAGAGTAACCAAACCACCGTCAAAGTCCTCTCCTCCCCATTCACTGACAGCTGCAAACTGTTCTGAAGGAGAAAAGAAGCAGGGTGCTTATTTTCCGCCGAGTCCTTGTGACTGCAAGGGCCCTTAAATCGAACAGATCAGACTCTCCCTTCCCACCGTTCTCCTGTGGAGCAGGACCCCAGCTGTAAGCAAGGAAAACCACTTGTTTGGATTATGGATTTCGCTTCGACGGTCAGGAAGGCGTGTGCTGGGACTAGGGCTAGATGCACGTGGCAGAGGAGGAAGCGATCGCGTCCGTACGACCGCACAGGACGAGCCGGCCTAGGGGCGACAAGACCGAGTCGGACCTCTTCGCTTTTCAGACAATGGATGTCTCACTTCTGCTGTACGTCTCGGGCCTGTACGTCCAGTCTGAGCCTGTCTGATCAGTCCCTGCTGCAGTCAGGATGCTGCACCAGTCCCAGAGGTGCACAGGGTATCGTTGGAGATGAAAGAGATGGACAGAGAGAGGTGTATGGAGAGGAGGTTTGGATGGGAGAAGTTGAGGATGACAAGGAAGGTGAGGATGAGAACGAGGAAGAAGAACAAGATGATGATGATGAAGATGAAGAAGAAGAAGAGGAGGACAGTAAAGAAGAGAAAGGTGAGGTGGAGATGGAGATAGGGTTGTCTTGAAGGAAAGATGATCATGGCGTTTCGAGAGGACGACTGGAATGTCAAACGCTTTTTACTCTATCCGGCAATAACGCACGTGTACACTCTTTACCTTTGATGAATGGGAACGCGCCGCTCCCGTGCGGGCCGAGTGTCAATTAGAATGATGGAGATGGACTGAAGACCCGCCTGGGGTGAAATCTGTCTCGATTAGAGGAGATCTCAGAGTAGATGAGATGTATGCATGGCTGGGGTGTGAATGGTGTGAGCTGGTGGAAAGGAAGTGGGAGCGATGATTGATGGACGCCACTGTGGCCTTCAGATGGCAGTCATCATCAGTACCGCTTACCTTGTTGTGGTCACATGGGTTTTGTTCACACTGCAGGGCAAATATATTTATTTTCAGGCCAACTTTAGCCTTTTTTCAGTTCAGACTTCAGTGCTTTTGCTAGCACTTCCATGTTGGTTGTACATGGTTTTACATGAGGGCAGTATACAAATCTAAGTGTATTAGGAAACGGGAAAGGGTGGACGCTATATCATCAATTCTCATCATATTCTGTTTTCCTTTTATGTTTGTCTTCCATTCCTGTAGCTCCACAAACACTAGAGCATAGTGCTAGCAATGGCAAGGAATGGGTGAACTGATAGAATGTATATCTGAATGCAGTGTAAGTCACTTTGGATTTGTTTTAAAGGTCATCATTCACACGTGTCGTTTTTAAATCAGACTTCTGTGGAAAACAGAAAAAGACATTTTGAAGAATGTTGGTAGCTGAACTGTTTTGGTTATCATTGAAGAAGAAAAAAACCACTGACATTTCTGAAAATGTCTTCTTTTCTGTTTCATAGAAGAAATTTTCATTTATTAAGTTGAAACCAAGTAAAAATAACCTTATTAGAAAATACATTGTCTATAAACAAGTCTTAAAGGGGTCATATGATTATTTTTTAAAGATCATTATTTTGTGTATTTGGTGTAACAGAATATGTTGACATGCTTTAATGTTCAAAAAACACATTATTTTTCAAATACTGTACATTATTGTAAGTCCTCTATGCCCCGCCTCTCTCAAACGCTTTGTTTTCTACAAAGTCCCTCCTTCCGAAAAGCGCAGTCTGCTCTGATTGGCCAGCTGACCCAGTGCATTGTGATTGGCCGAACACTGCAAGCACTTGTCGGAAATGTAACGCCCCTTACCATAATCGCGAGCTTCATCTTTCAAAATAAATGTAAAGACAGAGCCCGAAAGGGGAACAGAGTCGCGTGAGAGACCCCGTAATGAAGCTGGTATGTGTTTGCAGTACACAAGCCACGGTTAAGACAGCTGACTCCACTGTGATGTGTCTCTCTCTCTCTCTCTCTCTCTCTCTCTCGCGCTCGCTTGTGTGCGCACACACACACACACACCGCTCTCTCTCTCTCGCTCGCGCGCGCACACACACACAATGCGCAAAACTCCGCATTTGAACAGTCAATAGCAAATACTTAAACTAATAACGAAGGTAAAGCTGATTCAGAAGCGCCAGATTGTCATAGCAAAGTCAGAATTACCTCCTCTCCTAGGTTCATGAAACGGTCGTCCATAAAATGCATTGCTGTTCTGTTGGAAGTCATCTTAAAGATTCCTAAATGCATCTACTTTCGGAAAGGCCAAATAAAGTGCTTTTGCTTTCGCCTAGAAACACACAGCGTCTCCCTGACATGGCTGCTTCAACACTAACTTCGGTTACTGAAACCACGCCTTCTTTCTTTGCGTGCACATTTGGGCGGCATTATGCAAATATTTCCACATAGTGAGGTAGATATGTGGGAGCGTGTTAGAACGAGCCATTTTAGGGGGGCGTGGCAGAGTCTTAACTTTGATAAAGAATATCTCTTTGGTTTTGAGACTTTAGTCTTTGCAACTTCAGGGATCTTATCTATGCACAATCAGCTTGTAACACTCCAAAGAGAAAGGAAAACTTGAAATCGCATCATATGACCCCTCTAATATCTTATCCTGTGTTGCTCAAGTAAATTTATCTTGCTTTATAGACTTAGATTTTTTTAATGGAAAACAAGTCAAAAGACTAATTAAACTCTCGTTAAGAAGTCATTTTTTCAGTGCATAATGTTTATTGCTGTTATCACTGCGGGTACATTTAATGACAACAAATTACAAGAAAATAATTATGTCGGATTGTTCAAACTGAGACATTTCATTAAAAATTATTTTAATCAGATTTCTAACAACTTAGGTTTTTTTTTTTTAATAAGACTTTTAAAAAAAGTTTCTCATGTTCAGAAATAGGAAAAACAAAAATGATTTGAGTCTTATAGGCAAAGACAGTGCAGTTTTGCTGCCTATTTGAACAAGGTCATGGTTACATTTTAGAATTTTACAGTTGTGTGGTTTTAGGACAGTTTTCGGGTTTCAGGCTGCACTGTTATTGTTAGCATCAAATGTGGCTTATGACTAGGAAGGTAATGGAGCTAGAAAACGTGTTAACAGGCGTTATAGGTACTTTAATACAAAGGAAATCTGATTAATCTCAGTGCCATGGTAGTACAAGATGATCTGTAAACCAGTGTGGCTTAGCCGTCTCAACCGGACACTTCAGTTCTAGAAAGCAGACTCAAGTGTTTCCACTCATTTGACACTGCATTTTTCATGCTTAAAATGTCTCACAATGACAGACCAGCTTTTTCTCTGGCCTATATATTTAGCCAAGAGTTTGTTTGCAAGGCCCTTTGTTGTTCTTTTTTTTTTTCTTTCTCTTGCCTTCTATTTCTAAACTGCCAGCACAGCCGGTCCGCAGCTTGGTGCTTGGCTTGTTAGTTGCGCTGCACAGTTCAGACAGCCACCCTGTCATCGTGCAGCCGTCTTCTCCTCCCTGTGAGCCTCGGAGCTTTGCTTGGTTAACTCAAACCAGCTTTGGGATGTTATTTTCGGACATGGACTTTTTTTGGAGTGGCATTGCTTGCGGGCAGATGTAATTCAGCCCATCCGATTGTGCTTGGTCTCTCCTCTCTCTAGCTATGTTCCCATCACCCTATTTTAATGCGCATTTTGAAGTATCACATGAGAAAACGAGCCAAATTTCGAATAGAAATCTCTTAATTCGCAAAAAGTTTTTACGCTCGCTTGAGGTGTTTTTTGACTCGTTCAAAAAAGGGTTGATGCGAATAATGGGAGATGGAAATGCATCTTGCGAATAAATTCCTCCAAGCGCATCAAAAGTCATGTGACTTTGGGCTATGGGATGGCAAAAACCTGACTAACCAGCGGACCGATCTCATTCACAGCATCTGAAATATTGTTATGGTCATTCGGAAGTGCACGAGCAAAGTCTGTCATCAAAGTATTTCTGTATAATTGCCTCCCAGAAATGTCTTACACGACTGCGTTTCCAAACAGGAGCATCCACCTCCAAAAGCAATGACCGCATTCATTGTGTTTCATCTGCTCGCTCTGAGGTGCAAGTAATTTATTATAAATCACTAAGAAAAGTAGGAGAATATATGTATCTATCTATCTATCTATCTATCTATCTATCTATTTTTCTATCGTTCTATCTTTTGTTCTGTCAGTCTGTCTGTCTGTTTGTCTGTTTTATTGTTCTATCTATCGTTCTGTCATTCTATCTATCTATCTGTCTATCTCTCTGTCTGTCTTTTGCCTGGGTTTGCACCATATTTTAAATAAGTAAATAAACGAAAAAAAATCTAGTTCGAGTGTAAAGTTGTCCAGGAAGCCCTGTAATGTGTGGCTGAGAAAGAGCTCCAGTGTGTCCAGCTGCATTACTGTCACCAGCACAGCCGGTCCGCAGCTTGGTGCTTGGCTTGTTAGTTGCGCTGCACAGTTCAGACAGCCACCCTGTCATCGTGCAGCCGTCTTCTCCTCCCTGTGAGCCTCGGAGCTTTGCTTGGTTAACTCAAACCAGCTTTGGGATGTTATTTTCGGACATGGACTTTTTTTGGAGTGGCATTGCTTGCGGGCAGATGTAATTCAGCCCATCCGATTGTGCTTGGTCTCTCCTCTCTCTAGCTATGTTCCCATCACCCTATTTTAATGCGCATTTTGAAGTATCACATGAGAAAACGAGCCAAATTTCGAATAGAAATCTCTTAATTCGCAAAAAGTTTTTACGCTCGCTTGAGGTGTTTTTTGACTCGTTCAAAAAAGGGTTGATGCGAATAATGGGAGATGGAAATGCATCTTGCGAATAAATTCCTCCAAGCGCATCAAAAGTCATGTGACTTTGGGCTATGGGATGGCAAAAACCTGACTAACCAGTGGACCGATCTCATTCACAGCATCTGAAATATTGTTATGGTCATTCGGAAGTGCACGAGCAAAGTCTGTCATCAAAGTATTTCTGTATAATTGCCTCCCAGAAATGTCTTACACGACTGCGTTTCCAAACAGCAGCATCCACCTCCAAAAGCAATGACCGCATTCATTGTGTTTCATCTGCTCGCTCTGAGGTGCAAGTAATTTATTATAAATCACTAAGAAAAGTAGGAGAATATATGTATCTATCTATCTATCTATCTATCTATCTATCTATTTTTCTATCGTTCTATCTTTTGTTCTGTCAGTCTGTCTGTCTGTTTGTCTGTTTTATTGTTCTATCTATCGTTCTGTCATTCTATCTATCTATCTGTCTATCTCTCTGTCTGTCTTTTGCCTGGGTTTGCACCATATTTTAAATAAGTAAATAAACGAAAAAAAATCTAGTTCGAGTGTAAAGTTGTCCAGGAAGCCCTGTAATGTGTGGCTGAGAAAGAGCTCCAGTGTGTCCAGCTGCATTACTGTCACAGTAGGCCAACTGTTGGCTGCCCCACTGTTTAATGGGGTGGTATGCAGTCTTTTGCAAGTGTAGGAAACCCTGTGTCAGAGGCAATGGAATGATATTTGAATTATTAGATTAAATGCACCCTGCCTTGCTAACTGCAACCCTGCTATTATCAACAATTCTATATTTTTTCCCCATATTTGCTGA